GGACCAAGGGGAACCTACATATGAAACTATCAAAATCCAAGATGGCTACCTGTCGGCCATGTTGTTTATCCGATCAGTCTCAAAAGTTGCACTGCACAGCTAGGGACCAAGGGGAACCTACATATAAAATTTGAGAAAGAGGCCTCTGGTACTTCTTGAGAAATAGCGATAACAAACTTTCACTATCAAAATCAAAGATGGCTGCCTGTCGGCCATGTTGTTTATCCGATAAGTCTCAAAAGTTGCCCTACACAGCTTAGGACCAAGGGGAACCTACATATAAAATATGAAATAGTTTCAATAGGGAATGGGGCAAACTTCCACAGAGAAAAAAACTGGCTTGAATTTCCCTCACCTTTGTGTAATTCCTATGGAAATTTTGCAACCATGGAATTTTGGGGGATGGGTTTGGGATTTGGGTAGGGTAGAAGAGAATGATTCTTCTAGATATGTAAAGATACAAAACTGGTTAACTACTTGGAAATGAGGACAGGTGTACCTATAAAGGTATACAGAACATGTGTATATATTATCTCTCCACACCTTTTCAGTTATCACCAGTTTCACCAGTCTTTTAGAAACAGAGTATTAGTAAGGACATGTCCACAAGTCAATTATGTTTATCATTTGTAATATACACCATTGTATGCGGCCCCGTGAGAAGAGTTTTGGTGTACATCTCTCTAACTACACGAATATAAGACACTGATCCCGAAAGCGAGTATGAAATTCAATGATAGTCTCAATCAACTAAAGGTTTACTTGGAGGACAGTTTCGCCAGGCCCATGAACACATTCTCATTTTTTTTTAAAATTTGTTTGCTAGAACCGACAGAGATATCCGTTCACTTCAACTTAAGTTGTTAGCTCAACTGGCCTTCGGACCAGGTGAGCTTTTGGCATGGTGCGGCGTCTGTCGTCAACATTTTATTTTAAGCAACTTCTAAATTACCACAAGGCACAGGCTGATGATATTTGGCCAGTAGCATGCTGGGATGAAGGGCTACCAAGTTTGTTCAAATGAATGACCTTGACCCACTTTCAAGGTCACAGGGGTCAAATGTCTTAAAATCTTCGAACAACTTCTTCTCAATAACCAAAAGGACAAGGGTACTGATATTTGGCCTGTAGCATGCTGGGATTAAGGGCTACCAAGTTTGTTCAAATAAATTACCTTGACCCACTGTCAAGGTCACAGGGGTCAAATATATTAAAATCTTCAAAGACTTCTTCTCAACAGCTAAAAGGCCCAGGGTACTGATATTGGTCCTGTAACATGCTGGGATGAAGGGCTACCAAGTTTGTTCGAGTGAGTGACCTTGACCAACTTTTAAGGTCACAAGCTTAAGTGTCATATGTCTTAAAATCTTCAAACAACTTCTTCTCAATAACCAAAAGGCCAAGGGAACTGATATACGGCCTGTAGCATGCTGGGATGAAGGACCGCCAAGTTTGTTCAAATGAATGACCTTGACCATCTTTCAAGGTCACAATGGTCAAATGTCTTAAAATCTTCGAACGACTTCTTCTTAATAACCAAAAGGCCCAGGGAACTGATATTTTGCCTTTAGCATGCTGGGATTAAGGGTTACCAAGTTTGTTCAAATGAATGACCTTGACTCACTTTCAGAGTCACAGGGGTCAAATATATTAAAATCTTCAAACGACTTCTTCTCAATAGCTAAAAGGCCCAGGGTACTGATATTGGTCCTGTAACATGCTGGGATGGAGGGCTACCAAGTTTGTTGAAGTGAGTGACCTTGACCAACTTTTAAGGTCACAAGCTTAAGTGTCATATGTCTTAAAATCTTCAAACAACTTCTTCTCAATAACCAAAAGGCCCAGGGTACTAAAATTGGGTCTGTAGCATGCTGGGTTGAAGAGCTACCAAGTTTGTTCAAATGAATGACCTTGACCCACTTTCAACCTAATGTCCTTCTTTGACATTCAAGGTTACAGGCGTCATATGTTTAAATCTTTCAATAGGTTCTTATGAATCAAATACTGATAATCTGCCTGTAGCTGTATTTTAGTCCACTTTTAAGATTACAAGTGTGAGATTAATACCAGATGAGCGATGCAGGCCCATTGGGCCATTTGTAGTTGGCAAACTTCGAACAAGGTTACTGTGAAGCGGTACATAATACGCCCGTCACCATTGGATGAGCAGTTGCTTGTATCGTTGATATATACAAACTGTTTGTGAATAATTGATGTTAGAAAAATAATTCAACATACTTGGTAGATCAAAGCAATAAAACATATTGGAATGCATGTAGTATTGCATTTATAAAACCAAGGGGAATAAGTCTATAAATTATGGTCAAATAATTGTGATTACACTCACCGATTCAGAGGGCATAACTCGGAAAATGGTGGTTATCGAAGTTTGAACTTAATACGTTGAAAATTACTCGGATATTGAGCGGACACCATATTTTGGCAATTGAAGAAAGGGGCATAAATCCGTAAATTAGTCAAATAATGGTAGTTATCAAACACATAAAGCTTTTATGGTTATTAACCTTTCTGTGAAGTTTGAATTTAATCCATTGAAAAATATTTCAGCAATTGAATAAAGGGACAAAACTCTGTAAATTACACACAGACTATGGTGATTATGGAACTCATCCTAGCTTTCATGGTATTATATATTACCTTCCTATGAAGTTTGTAGTTAATCCGTTGGATATAACTTGAGATATCAAGCGGACACCCTTTCAGCAATTGAACAAAGGGGTATAACTCCATAAATTACAGTCAGGTAATGGTGGTTATCAGAATTGTCCAAGCTTTCATGGTAATTAACCTTCCAATGAAGTTTGAAGTTAATCTGTTGATAATTACTCAAATATTGAGCGGATTAAAGGGGCGTAACTCTGTAAATATTAGGTGGATAATGGTGGTTATCAAAATTTTAAGAGGTTTCGTGGTGATTTACCTTCTTTTGGACGTGAGAATAAAAACTGAAACTTTTCAACAGGATTTCAATATATACTTATAAATAGATAACATGAATTGCAATAATTTCATTAAATAAGAAAAAGCAAAGCAATTAAATACAAATTGACACATTTAATTAGATCATTCAACAATATAATACATTCTTTTCATGAAATGAAACTGATGTACAGCAAGTTAAATAACATGCTTGTAACTAACGAATCCACCTCTCTTTTCATTGCTCACCAAAGAATTCTTATCATTTGACAAGTTATGAGAAATTTTGTATCTAGGAAACATTGTAGAACCCTACTAGAGATAATGTTATTAGTAAATAAATAGTTGTTAACCTTTACCTAGATATTTACTGAACTTGTTTATCAACCTTGTTGACAGTATTTTATAATTATTTTATACAGAACAATATCACAAACATTTGTTACATAGCACTATTGTAAGTTTTCCTTGTAGGAGCACTTATATGTTGTCAGAAAATGTGTCTCAAGAAAGTAATGGTGATGGGTGATGTCACATCCAGAAGAGGTTTGTTCCATTAGTTTCTCTGAAGAGAAGTACTTCAAAATTGTGAAAAATTGTTCAGATGTAAAGAAGTGATGTTGTGTTAATCTTTCTCTGCTATGGCTACAAGGTGTGCATCTTTTTCATCCTCTGTCAAAGCCCTGAAAAATTATAATGTATTTTTTTTGATATACCATACACAATAAAGAACAATCTGTAATATCTTAATAATAGTGGCCTACTGTATTTATCATCCTGTGTCAAAACTCTGAACAATTATATCATTATTTAAAATTAAATATAACATTAAAAATTAAGAAACATCTATGACATTTTGATAATACCAGCCTGCTTCAACCTAATTGTGAGCACATATTGCTAATTGAAAAATATAACAGAGTTATCGAAGACAAAATTTGCATTTAAAATTGTCATGCTATTTCAGTTCAAAGGTATTGGCAAATTCTCTCACAGTAACTACAGGTTTCCTTACTCCCAACTCATTGGCTTATTCTGCAAGGAGTTGGTAAATAGTTTTGATTACCCACTAGTGGGCGTTATTTCATTGGTCAATTTTCTAATTATGACGTCAAGGAACAATGCTTTACGATATCATCTTTCATTTTGCTGTCATAGTTCATGGCAATTGTTTCGTCAATCAGAAACAGAAATAATGTATTCCCTAGAGAAACATTTGGTTAATAGAACAGCTGAACATTGTTGGGAGAAAAAAAGGTCCCCTAACTCATAATGGTTGATTATCATGTTTTATGATATGTTATGTTACCTCATGTTAGTTACTTTTCAAATTGTACAAAGACACTTGTTAAACCGTGTCTTTGTACAATTTGAAAAATAACAAACTAGAGTAAGAGAAACATGATAACCAACCATTATATCATTATAATACTTTTTTTCATAAAACAGTTTTCCCTTACTTTCTCTTCCTTTCAAATTTGGAATAAAATCCCTCACAGTTAAACATGTCTGGGACCATGTACAAAATGTACAACCATTGTCTCTACTAACAATATACTTTAGTTATATCAGAGTAAGTACCTGAATTTAGGATGTTCTGTTGTTACAACTCCAACTTCAATTTCTGAGGACTTGAAGTCCGCTGATAACACAGTTGATAGGCATGTTATTGCAATCTGCAAATAAAAGAACAATCAACTCTGTATAAATGTTTTCTCATTTCATTCTACCTTTTTTGCTTCTGCTTACTTCTACTATCTCACTAAATATTAACTCTTACAAACTTGGCCTAATTCTACTCTCTTACAAATAGAAACTTGAGCATATTTGGCTTACTGCTTCTCTCATACTAAATATAAACTCAAGCAGACTTGGCAGATTTCTACTTTATAGCTTAATATAAACTCATGGAGATTTGGCTTACTCCTACTGTCTCACTAAATTAACCTCAATCTGACTTTGCCTACTTCTTCTCTCTTACCATATTTCTAATTTCTCCTGTAACTACTATATATTTCCTCACTCCAAACTAATAAGATAAACTCCTAGGAGACAGTAAACATTTTTGATTGGGTGACCTTAACAATATTTTGCGCAGTTATCATCAAATGAGATGTCGCAATTCATAGCAATAACAGTAACCCTTTTAAAAAGAAACAGAAATAATGCTTATCCAAATAAAAGATTTGGTTTTCTAGATAGGGGCCGGGGTGGACAAGTGGTTAAGGCGTCTGACATTCTGACACACTAGCCCTCCACCACTGGGTCGCAGGTTCGAGGCCTACTTGGGGCAGTCGCCAGGTACTGGCCGTCGGTCGGTGGTGATTCTCCGGGAACTATGGCTTTCCTCCAACATCAAAACCTGGCATGTCCTTAAATGACCATAGCTGTTAATAGGACGTAAAACACAAACAAACCAAACCAAGTTTTCTAGTTATATGAACTTTATTGGAGTAAAAGGTCTCCAAACTCTTTTTGGTTTGTTATCATGTTTACCTAGCTCTCATTAGTAAATTTTCAAATTGTAAAAGACACTCAGTGTTTTTACACAATCTGAAAAGTAACCAACTCGGGTTAGATAAACAGGATTCCCAGCCATCCCTCATTGGGGAACCTCTATGTCCCACTAAATATAAACTCTAAATTACATAGATCACTTTTAATGTCTCACTAAATATAAACTCCAACAAATTTGGCTTACTTCTACTCTTTCACTAATGACTGAACAAAAACCCTAACAAACTTGGCTTACTTCTACTGCTTCATTATATGTAAATTCCTGCTTCTTCTTGACTTTCTTCTCCAGAAAGCTGTTGGCCTCTAGTTGTTTCACTCCAGCTGATGTAGCCTTGTACCCACAGAAGTAGCCAGCAGGATCACACTTGTATATCTGTGCTCCGCTTTCTTCATCATAGCCCAATAAGATCATACCTGTAATCATATGCAAATTGACAGGCATAGGTAGTATAAATCCCACATGTAATTGTTTATATTTGTTCTTATTCATGACAATTTTTAGATTACAATTCTAACAAAACACTAACCTGATGTTCACCAGTAAATATGAGTCTGCTGTTAAATTATGTGATGTTGTTGTTTTACAAAGATGAACATAAGTCATAGTTTTTTGTTTCAAATTCACTCTGAATGAACTTTCTATCAATTACAGTGTATATCTGTTAATTGTGTTTCTTACCAGACGATATCTGCATTTGATAATTGGCTACTTTCTGCTTTATGATAGAGTTAAAAAGACAGTGAATTTAATTGATATCAAGACTAGGTAAATACTGAAGCAGTTGCTTTGTGAATATACCTGCTTGAATATCAAAATAGATCTGAGCTGATATAAGCTTTCACAGTGATCATGCAATCTAATATTGAAGAGGAGATTGCTGTGTCCAGTATTTGGATCACCTCTGATCCTACTTTTTGTAAAATAAAATAGGCCATGGTTCCATAGCATAACTAAATCACACTGAGTTTTATCTTGACCTTACACTTAATAATGTGATTAAGTTGTTTTCAGGGTGAATTGATGATCATTTATACAACAGTGTAGGAAACATTTCAGTACCAGACACAAAAAGTGAAAATAAGAACAGAATACAGCATAAAAAGAACTAGATTACTTACTGCATCCTAATGGCCTCATTTCAGCACTCTGTGTGTAGACTTGGGAAATGTCCCCTATCCGCTTACATAGTATGTCCACAGGGATTTCATAACCATAGTTATACTTCCATTTAGCTGCCTCGTACCTGGCTCTCTGTACCTGTGAGCGACTGTCCGCTGTAAACAAGATAAATCCCGCGTTGTGAGAAGCACGTAACAAAATTGTCTTTGAACGTAAATCTTATTTACTATGAATTTTTCTTTCTGGTTTCAAATATAACTTTTATGCCCCAAATAAGAGCAAAATATACAAAACGTGTTTATTTTCATAAATGTACATATATACAGCTGGTATATCATAAAAACAAGACAACAAAAGATCCTAGAAGGATTTTGGCACCCACCATCAAAGGAACTTATCTTATCTACAATAGATGACATCTTACTTCCTTTGCTCTATGTTTTCCTTACAAGTACCACATGTACTATACCCATTTCAATTTGCCACAATGGCAAATGTTACTGTACACGATAGAGACATGCAATCGACAGACAGACGATGAGTAATTTGAATAACCCACCACCTGATGATGGAGGCCTAAAACGAGACATGTACATATCTATATGCACTTTGAAATAAAACAGCAATAATTCCCATGCAGACAGACATCTAAATGTTCCACTATTTAAAATATCTGTTCAATTACATATTATAATACTCCTCAAAGAGGCTTTAAATCATGCTTATTATATACACCAATTGTGAGTCATACACAGTCAAATGAATTTAGAGACAAATTCCATTATCTGCAGTTGAAGAGACGAACAAAACAATATCCAAGTGTTCACCATAACCAAACAGGGCAGGGTATACCAGGTACACACAAGTTTGGTGCACAATGTAGAGATCAGACAATTTTAGTTTCTCATACCACAATTAAGTTGTGTTGTTAATATGAAAATTTATCAGCCACAATTAAGAGTTTTAACTTATAACATACATGTAGGTGTCAACCTCTGAAACCTCCAATGAGGGAGATCTCCCTCATTCCACATTTCAAGTGAGGGAGAAAGTGTGAAATGTGACAAAAAACTGCTTTGCTCAATTTATCTTTCCCTTTTTATGTATCAAAATAACTTTAAAAAGCATTCATTTGATTCAGACACACCAGTTATGATCATTACACACACTCTGCAGTAATAAGAATATCATTTGACCACAAAATTAAGACTTTGAGGTTATGTGATCATGAGTTTGGACTTGAATTAGGGAGTTTCAAGGGAGATTGGTCAATTTTGGTAAAAATGAGGGAGTCTTATAGTTCCCTCCTAACATTGAGGAAGGTTTGACAGCTATGTTAAACTGAATTATAATGAAGGAGGAAGACAAAATTAAAAGCTTTCTTTTAAATCCTCACGGGCAGTTTTCAGTGTTGACTCATGTACTTACCAACCATGCCAGTCATCACACATCCTATATTCTCCGTCAGCTGGAACAGGTGAGTGACAGAGTCAGCATCCAGCAACTTGTCCTGGGGAAAATAAGGTGAAACACATTTCCAGAATGTACACATGCAATATATTCGTGGTGTAAAATGGGTTTGGGGTTTTTTTCCGGAAAGGAGACTTTGTCTTTGTATAGTGGGAAAGAAAAGAAAAAAGGTGAGAAGAAAATGGACCAAAGTTCCCAGCAAATAACATCCACTAACATTGGTTTCTTAAACCTAAGATCTAACTTGAAATTGTTTTCATTAATTCAAATTTGTCATAGGGAGATTTAAATAACAGGAAGAATGTAAAAGGGGCTATTTGGTCAACTAACACCATTAAAATCAGTCAGATACTGAAAATATTGATCTTATAACGAAAGTTGATGTAGTTGATAAGTACATGTTCTGAAGTTTATGTCCAGTACATGTGGTCAGTTTTATTTCTTGGAAAAGCTGGTGATCAATATAGCTTTGACAAAAACAATACAATTTCTGTGCCTTTCAGTGAGAAAACAAAGTGCTTGTAAGCATGTATACCAAGCAGTCAACAACCCATTTAATTTCACACGTAACACTTTCTTGTCACAATTAACTCACACACTTCATCTCTACCTGCACTTGTATTCCAAAGAGGACAGTTATAGCAAACTAAATTGTGAATTTATCTTCTCATCTCAACTGGGAAGACAGTTTTGTTTACAACAAGAGGCCCATTGGGCTTGCATCACTCACCTGGCATTAATCACACACTTCTAACCTTAAAGGATTTGTGCAACAGTGGTCAAAAACGTGTCAAAATAATCTTTAAACTCATTTAAATAACCTTTTTTTTACGGGAATGTAATTCAACATTCCGATAATGTATAATTGTTTCGTTTATGGGGCGGAGAACACCAAGCTGGAGTTAATGAGCTCGCTGGTCACATGATCGCGTGACGTCATTATAGGACGAGGGTTTCCCCAAGCTATCCTTAGCCTCTCGCGTACTTGACCTTGGCTCACTTCGATATCCACTGAAAACCTCGTAAATTTATCAACAAACACCATGTCAGATACCGATAGCGATGTTCCTGAAGTTTGGGATGAGCTTGATATTTTACCCTACCAATTTGAACCCGCGAGAAAACACGTAGATCGAGTTACAGAAGAAATGTATTCGTCACAATCAGAGACTGACGAGTCTGATGACGGGGACGACCATGCCAGGGCACGAGACATCCAAACAGACAACATCGCATGGTATGTCACCTCAAGAAAATGAGAAATAAAATATAACTACTAGTACATGTTTTGTTGAAGAAATCGCAAACTTCCGATTTATGTCGAAATGATTGCCAAACCAGCAAAAGTTTTTCTCTTGATTCCCATTCTCCCTGCCCCACCCTAGGCCTAAATGCGGAAACGTTCAACATCTTTCATAAGCCAATTGAGGATTACCGATTTTAAATGTATTTTGTTTATAACAAAGAAAAGGGAAAAAAATGTTCACAGGAAAATACTTCATATGTGCATACATAATCACATATTTAATACGTCTTTTCGCGGAATCAGATTCAAAGCTAGATAAAAGATAAAGTATATGTGTATGTTTTGTTTTCATTTTTCGTACGTCATCACTGAAATACAAATAGATTGCAAAATTATTTCTTTTATACTTGTATATATATTTAGGCTAAAATAACCCATCCCTGGAGGGTATGTTTTTTTTAACTTGCAAAGGAATTTTTTTTCAAAGAATTACCTAAAAGTTACTATTTGGTTGAATGTTTTGTTCCTATTATCACAAAAATATAATTCAAAAAATAAAATTATATAGGATTATTTTTTTTTTAATCTTTTTATTTGCTGCATCTTGTAAATCTTTCAGCTGGGGAATTTTCAATGAAGTAAAAAGTCCCGAAAACCCGTCTGTATTTTCTTTCTCCAGCAGTGGAGTTTCCGGTATTGCGTCATCTTTCAGCTGTGCCCTCCGTGAAAAGTTCAATCCCAAACTCTCGAATTTCGAACTGTGGTTCTGGAACATGCCCATTGAAAAATGCACACTGCATAAGGGGGGATGATTTGTTGCTGTGAAGCTGGACCTTCGACAGTAATGTTCCCATGTCAATCTCTGTACGGGATTCTTCGGGAATTTGAAGAACGAAATTCCGCTTCCTTTCTTCAGTCTATTGGAACAACCAAGAGCCGCACAAAACACCATTTTACCAAATAAAAGTATACACCAACTTTCATTAAAAAAGTTACGTTGTCTTTCACAACAAGATTTCCTGTTTACGCTAACTCGGAGACTGTGATCAGCTGATATGATATGTAAACAAACAGTGTAATATGGCGGCGGCTTGATTTTTCGCGGACTATTATGATGTCACAAGGGAGTGGCCTCATTCCGGGTCACGAAATATGCATAAATGAGAGGTCAACTCATATGACCCAATAGTCGTGTCACTTCAATGTAACCAGACAACGCGTGCGGGATTGGGCGTTTTAATAAGGGTTTACAACACCACTTTTTTTATAATACAGAATTTTTATTTTTCGTTGCACAAATCCTTTAAATGATCTAAAATAAAGCTACAAAATATCTGTATTCATGATTAAAAGTCATTTAAAAGAACCTGTTAAAAGATTTAAAAGCATTTCACACTGTGACCTTGAAAGTTGAACAGGGTCATTATGTTGAACAAATTTGTTCATTTCAGGATGCAACTTGCAAAATATTCACCACCCTATTCTTTTGTAATATTCACCACCCTATTCTTTTGTTTATTGATATTAGGTCATTTAAATGTTTATACAAATTTGATCCCTGTGACCTTGAATATAAGTCAAGATCATTCATTTGAACAAACTTGGTAGCTCTTGATCCTAGCATGCTACTGACCAGATATCAACACTCTAGGCCTTATGGTTATTCAAAAGTCGTTTAAAGATTTTAACATATTTGACCCCTGTGACCTTGATCATGGGCGAAGGTCATTTATTTGAACAAACTTGGTAGTGCTTCACCCCAGCATGCTACTGGCAGATTATTATCTCCCTGGGCATTTGATTATTCAGATGAGGTTGTTTAAAGTTTTTAACATATCTGACCTCTGTGACCTTGAATATGGGTGAAGGTCATTCATTTGAACAAAATTGGTAGCCCTTCATCTCAGCATGCTACTAGCCAAATATCATCACCCTGGGCATTTTGGTTATTCAAAAAAAGTTTATTTAAATTTTTAACATATTTGACCCCTATGACCTTGAAATGGGTCAAAGTCATTCATTTGAACTTGGTAGCCCTTCATCCCAGCATGCTTCCGGCCAAATATCATCATCCTAGGCCTTTCGGTTATTAAGAAGAAGTTGTTTAAAGTAAAATATTGACGCCTGACTACGGATAACGCTGCACCACGGCATAAGCTCACTTGGCCCTTCGGGCCAGGTGAGCTAAAAACAGGAATATATTTCCAACTTCATTAAAAATAACGTTATATTTTCCTAATTCATGTAGGAATAGGCTGTTGTATTATTTAGGCTGAAAAATCACTGGCTTTAATAGTTTCACGGAATTCTTTATCTTTTAAGACAAAATCCATTAACAAGGTTACTACTTTGACTCAAATATAGACGCTATCAATAACTACTTAAATACTTACGGGTACTTTTTTCTGTGTGACAACAACTGCACTGTCTTTCCCTCTTACTGCTACCGATGTAAGCCCACCTTGGTTGATGGCTTTAAATGCATATTCTATAATAGCAAACACAAAATAAATCTTGGTTTAACACTGACCAATAAGGTAATCATTGTTCTATAAAAAGTTTGATCACTTGCAAAATTGTCAAATTTGCTAAAATAATATGTATGCATATGTATTTCATATATAAACAGAGATAACTACATATGTAGAAATGTATATAAGCCACAGGCTAACTAAAGACCCCCTCTGAAAAAACTGTTATTGTACATCATTTTTTTTTTAAAGGAATAGTTTAGAACTCATTTTAGACCATGTCTTTTACTTTGTCTTTTCACTCTGATGTATCATGTTATTACATATCATGTCCATGACCACAGTATCGTGGCATGTATTGTATCCTCATGTTTATGCATTGTTGCAGCCTTAAGTATAACTGATATGGAAATAACAAAAATCAAAAATAAATCACAATTCAGCAAAAAGATAATTGAAAATGACAAGCAGACAAAGATTTATAAATAATGGAGGTCTGTGGAAGGGGTATGAAGGGGTATACGTAATTCCTATTTTTGGTGTAATTGTTTGTCACATGTGTGTTAATTTACAGACATCACTAATGAGAAGAATCACACACTATTGTGCATGTTTCACATGTACACGTAAAGGTGGTTCACATCCTACAGGTAAATTCACCTGCACGGCAGAGTTCATCAATCATTGTTGATCCCAGGGAACTTTTAGGTGTGACTTTACTGATTTTTTTTCCAAAAAGAGCCTAATGACAGTTTTGTACAAACTTAGAAGCATCTCCTTATAGATAAAGGTGAATGATTTGAATATCAGTTCTGTTGACCTTCAAGACACAGGTACATACATGTTGACGGAAATTGAATTGATGGTTAAATGCAACGCCAAGATCATTTTCAGAGGCAACTTTGGTAATAATGTCTTTTCTTCGTTTTGCAATGTGATGTTAATTTACAGTGGATAACCAATACACACATATGCTTGCATTTTTTTTTTATTTAACTGCATCTTCCACATCTCTGTTCATTTGCAGATAATGTCCTGGTTGTTTGGAGGCTCTCGATTATCGTTGAGAGCCTTAGATATACCTTTCATTAACTTAGCTTCATCAGCAAACATTGGTAGTAAGGCTTGGACTAAATCTGGCATGAGGTTGATGAAAATTTTAAAAATATCGGCCCGAGATCATCCGGAACATTCCCCTGTGGGACACCACTGAGTGATTTCATGACAATCAAGAGAGTTCTCCATTAACACAAACATGCTGTTTAATGTCAGATAGAAAACTTTGTATCCAGTTTAATATATGCTATTTGATACCATACTTTTTCAATTTTAAGAACCTGTAGCTCTGTCAAAAGCCTAAATGACTACAAGTCAAGATATATAGCGTCAACATTAATGCCCTAATTCAATTATCTCCAGATGTAATTATGGAATAGCGGAACTGCACTGGGTCAATCGTCGTAATTAGCTCAATTGGTTAGAGCAACCGTCTAGAGTTTGGAAGGTCCCGAGTTCGAACCTCGGTCTTTCTCCTGTTACAACTGTGTTAAAACTACCTCAATTTACTGTGTCTCATGATTTTCCTTTATTTTTTTTTAACAGGGTATGGAGTGAATTTACTTGTTTTGGAGTCATTTTCCTTAACACTCTCGAAAAAAACCCGATTTCTTCTACAACTTGCAGTTGCAGTACGTGCGCAGCGACAACCAGTCAGGACACAGAAACAGGCTTTTCGGACAAAAATTATGTTAGGTTTCAAAAACCTTAGGGACATTATTCATAAAATCTAATTGAGAATCTAATAACCACCTAATTCTTCCAATAATAAAATAATATTTTAGATCTTCACTACTGTACTAGTACAGTATCTACCCAGTGGCGATTCCAGAGGGGTTTTGGGCTTCAGGAACCCCCCCCCCCCAAACGTATTTTCACAATTTACCTCAATTTTTCTCTATTAGATTTACATAGCGTCCTTACCAACTTGATACAGTCGTCCTTCTGGCGAAAAAATAGTAATGTGTCTATCAAAACCGGCACTACTGCCCCGCGACATATTTCGTGTTGTTTTTTTGTTGAGCCGGTGTGATTTTGCTAAAATTGTTTCGGCTAGCTCTGTATGCTGCGCAATAATACAAAATAATTGTATTTTCATTTTCCTTTTATCACATAATGTCATTCATAATGTTGGTTTTCTGGTGTCTTCTACTTGTCAAAACACGAAAAAATGAAATAATTGACGAAAATATCAAAGGAATAACCTAAAACTAATAATGTATATAGGTTTATATTTTGTGGTGTATACGTTTCCGAAAGTGCGCAAATATCCTAACGCCGTAGTTTCGAACCGGAAGTTGTACGGTAACTTCACCACACATCAATCATCACAGTAGGTCACAGCCATCAATCTGTCGTGTTCGAGGAAACATTAACAGGTATGCCATGTCAACAACATTACGTTCACGTGTTTTTGGATGCACCTTCTCTTTTCTTCCATATGGTTCATGTAATTTTCTATTTAGCATTTGCAGACATTGTCAATTATGTTGGATGTAAGGGTTATACGTCAACGGTAAGATGCCACGTCATGTATTGTGTTTTATGTTTACATTTGTTCTGAAGTTAATTGAAAAATGACATTTTGCATCACTAAACTTATGGTCACTGCTAATGGCGTGTTTAATCATTTAGAATTGTTGCAGTGCAACTGCTTGACACCTTGGACTGGAATGTTTTCAAAGAGTTGTAATCTGAAATGTTTTATGTCTGCATCATACATGTAGTTCATGAAAAACAAAATACCATAAAGTGTACTGTGAATTGTTAACAGGTCCAGTACACTCTGCCGATTGAGCTATATAGCTGTAAAGACCTATAATAGCTCTATTGACCTATCTGAAATAGGTCTTTTGAGCTATTTTCAAGTGATTTTCTTTTTTAAGGAAAACGGAACAAAGTCGCATTTAAAAGAAGATTGTATTATTAGGTTGATAACAAAAGACATTAAATATATGTATTCTTTTAAAAAAAAAATGATGTAAAGAAATCGGAAATTTCATATTTATGAAAAATGAAAATAAACATCTAAGTGTATGCTTTTTGTAGTCAACATTACCATTAACCTTATTGTTATATGCGACTTTGCTTTAATTTAATGAAATTTGAAATCTGAGAAAATATAGCTCAATACAGCTATAATTTATAGGTGTATATAGCTATATAGTTCTTTATAGCTATATAGCTCAATCAGCAGAGTGTACTGGACCTGGTTAATATGTACCATAAAAGTATATGGTTATGGTTTTAAACGTTCCTGAATGTAGACTAACAATTCATAGTACACTTTATGGTATTTTGCATGAAGACATAAAACAAGGGTAACAGATTGTTTCGCCCTTAATCCCCTTCCAGCTAAGGGTTGTTTTGCCCTAAATCCTGTTCGCCCTTGGTTGTTTCGCCCTAATTTTTTTTCATTTATACGCTAATGAAATAATTAATATTTAGAGATATCAACTTAACTTTTTGATAACTTTCTACATTGGTGTTGGGTATATTTCCTGTAGAAAAATATGCAACTGTGTGAGTGCGGCGTCAGCTTTTCATATTCTGCTAAAACTGCATAATCACAGGCTCAACAATTCTGATCGGTATCAGAATTTTGGTCAGTTTTAGCGGACCAAGCTTTTCACAGCTGCCGTTTGTCACACTCGCTTTAAAACAACACAAACACATTTTTTTTTATAAAATTGATTTTAATGATATGAAAGACTAAGTAGGCTTAATTTGTGACTTAAGCTACTAAAATTAAAAGAAAATACCAAACAATGTTTCGCCCTAATTTTTTTGTTTAAGGGCTAAACAACCTAAGGCGAACGGGATTTGGCCTAAACAACCCAGAACCTAAAACAAGTATATTCATACAGTAAATAGGCTGCTAAATGGAAATGGTTTCATAAAATGTATGTCGCCATTCTCTGGCAGTTGAAAGGATATGTATTTTATGTTACATTACATGGAAACACCACTTTATAAGGAATCGGGTTACTATATATTCCAAATTGGCATACAGTACACTTGTGATCACTTTCCATTCAAATTTTCAATTGATCCAAAGGGGTTTAACGTTAACTCTCAACAATGACAAAAAGTGGACTATTTTTATAATTTTGATTTAATGATTTTATTATTCATCTCAAAAAAATATAAAAATTGATCAGAGGCTCCATGTGATTTATCATTTCAAGAAAGAAATTAAATACCCTTCACTGACCACAGTATATTAATATCAACGATATCAAGTGAAAACATCTTCATTTCTGTCCCTACTTAGCATTGTGCTCATCTGTTGATTTGGAATTCTTAACATTTAATGTCATTAAGACTGAGTGTGTGTGGAAGCGAAATGCCATTCCCTATAAGCCTAATTAATATAAGCTGTACCATATTCATCTACTGATGGTTCACTAAACTGACAAAATGTCCCCTCTTTATATAAAAAGCTGACAGATTAGTATTGTTTGTAATGGGACTCAAACATTTTGAAAATTACTTTCAAGACTCCCGTGATCCTACAATAATTATGGATAAATGATTTAATAAATACATCTACAGGTACATGAACAATCCATTTAAACTATTGATCCTAAAGTCAATACACAAAATCACAAATTCATGATTTACTTGTTCTTAATTTCTTTGTGCATGTTGTGAAGGTATTGATTTTTGGGATGGTATCATAAATATAGGTCACAGGGATTGTGCAGGGCTTCATCACGTTCCCCACTTTGTCAGTTCATTAAATGAACATGATTCCCAATTGAAAACGGGCCCCATTTTTCCACATGAATTCTGAAAGAAATGTGATTCCAGACCAAAATTTACTTACATTTTTACATAGGTTCACTCAATGCCATACTTCCTACATCTATATATGGGTAATGATGTGTTTTACACTACAGCAGTGACTTTTGCAGATTTTTAGCCCACCATCATCTGATGGTGGGCTATTCGAATCACCCTGCGTCCAAGGTCCGTCGTCCATCCGTAAACAATTCTTTGTTGTCGCTATTTCTCAAGAAGTACTAGAGGGATCTTTCTCAAATTTTATATATAGGTTCCCCTTGGTCCTTAGCTGTGCGAGCAACCTTTGAGACTGATCGGATAAACAACATGGCCGACAGGCAGCCATCTTTTATTTTGATATTGAAAGTTTGTTATCGCTATTTCTCAAGAAGTACCAGAGGGATCTTTCTCAAATTTTATATGTAGGTTCCCCTTGGCCCTTAGCTGTGCAGGGCAACTTTTGAGACTGATCGGATAAACAACATGGCCGACAGGCAGCCATCTTTTATTTTGATATTGAAAGTTTGTTATCGCTATTTCTC